AGGAAGATAATGAATACGACAAAAACAAACAGTAGGAAACTACGATAGGCGAGAAAACATAAAACAGAGATAAGCATATATTGGACGGTGACTCACATTTCGGTCATAAATGCTACGCCGTTTCCGAAAGCCTGGTCAATCAACGTGTCACGCGGGGGGGGGCGGGGGTGAGGGTGAACAAAAAAAGGCAAAAATGATGAGTGATTAAACGTTTTTACCACACGTTTACTGCTGCTGCGGCTTGATATATCCCAACAACGTGATCGAGCGGGTGAGAGCGATATGCGAGAAATACTCCAGCAGATAAACAGTGACGCGAAAATCAATTCAATTGTCCGAACTTGTCAATCGATTTAATCGCTCGATCATCGTCAGTTTCATACTCAATGATGTACCTTGGGTCCTGTGACCAACGAGAAAGGCTCCAGCATCAAACGTGTGATTGAATCTCAAGGCTATTTATAGGAACACAATGAATAACCACTTCAGACTTGCCTCTTACCCAGCTGATTAATTATTAGTCGGTAGGTAAACTTCACGCATGCGTTAGGGGAAAATCAGCATAGCACTTCATTGGTGAATCTGCGAGCAACGCTGCATTATGTAGTCAATACTGTTCGACGTGAGATCAACCGACAATGTGGCGGACGATAACCAGACAATATCAGAGCCGGTGGCTGCAGTTTGACAGTCTTGAGAAACCCTTACACACCTACATATGTACGGTGACGTGACCAATTCACAAGCACTGACGATGTCAGTTCGGCTGGAGATGAAACGCTGGCAAACAATTTTGGTGAACAGGCGAAATGGAATTCGGTTCACCTGAACTAGGAGAACCGATTGTTAGTAATTTTTAAACATATATACGTATTATAACAAGTAGTATATGAATGACTGGACGAAATTTCCTTGGAGGCACAAGACCAGATTCGCGGTTCTTGCCGCTCTTCAGGCATGCGCACCCATACTATGATACTATGTTTATAGATGGTTTAAACGCTACGAACCTCAACACACGCGAATAAGGCGTCCTTAAGTAGTATAAGTAGTATATATAGTAGTGTTATATTTCCAAAAGACGATGCTGGTCGAGGATAGTTCTTCATTGCCAATAACGTTCGAGATATGGTTAAATTGTCATTTATACAACAAAATATCTCATTTGGAACAAAATTGCAGAATTCCCACAAGCACACAGAATTGTTGATGAAACGATCTATCACTAGATGAGCATTCTTGTTCACCATACGGAACAGCAGCGATTTCCTCCAACAGGTCTTGTTGATTTTTGGTCGTTGAAAGAAACCACTGGTCGCATCTTTCTG